GATCTAGAGGCGCGGTCAGGTTCAGGGTTGAGATTTTTGGTGCCAATACATCCTAGGTGGTGTACACGTCCACCAGGAAGTCTAACTGCGTTTCCTGGCTGGGGTGTCAGCAGCTGTTGATAGCGATTACTTTGTGCCGTTATTTCATTAGGGTTAATAATTTTAAAATTTAGTGATGATAACGTCTATGAAATCCGTCTGTGATTTAATTTTTGTATGTGTGTGAGGGAAGGATCTGAGTTTGGCACAACCAGCTGTCCCAGCACCATCTGTGGAACAGTGTCTCTCTTCTGGCTGGATTTTAGCGTGGCTGCTGTCACAGGCCAAGCTCCTACGTGTGCACGGTGTGCTTCTGGGCGCTCTGTCTAGTACATTTGACGTGTCTTTTGAGTCTTGTGCCAGTGCAGCATCATTTTAATTACTACCTTTCCTTGGTTCCTCTTACTGAGAACCACAGAGTTCCTGCTGGAATTTTAGCCAATAATAAGGAGACAAAAGACTGAAAAAATAGGCCAAAGGTTTGAGCAGACACTTCATCAGAGAAGATACAAATAAGCACCAGAAAAGATGGTCACTGTAATGAGCCGTTAGGGAAATGCGAAGAGATTCCACTGTACTGTCATCCATCTGTCTGTATTTATCTCTCCGTCCATCTGTCTGTCTGTCAGTTATCTAGATCTACAAGTGGGAGGACCGGTCACACTAAGTGGCGGTGAGGACGTGGCGGGACGGGAGCCCTCGTACATGCTGGCGGACATGTGAAGGTGTGGCCACTTTGGAAGAGTGGAGCAGTTTCTTAAAAAGTGAAACACGTCCCTGCCATGTGGTTCCGTCACCCCCTCCCAGACAGTCATCCAGGATAAATAAAAGCACGTGTCCACGCAAATGCCGTTGTCAGTGCCATTGTTAGTTTAAAAAATACTGCTGAGTTCTTGCTTAGATCTGTCGTGGGAGTGGGAGGTGGAGGCATGCGGTAGGAGCGTCTCTTTTAGTCTGTTCTGTGTGTTACCCTCAGAG